GATGGTTACTGACGTCAGTCTAGCATCTCCACCTGTAGAAGAGTACAGATGTGCATGCGCACATGCACACACACACACACACACACACACACACACACACACACGAAGGTGGGAAAATGAATGGGTGGATGGATGAGAGTAGCTCTAATTTCAATACTGAGGGGCACACCACGGTGTCTCATGGTCACTAGGCCGGAGCTCATGGAATGTCCAGCATCTTGTTTTTCTTACCTGGAGTTTTACTCAGCACAGCTGTGGGGAGCCACAAAAAGTCAGCCTGAAAAATATTCCTCCACAGCACCACAGTAAAAACGAAAGAGCAATAAAGGTTACAACGGCGCATAGTCCGTCTTGTGCATTTTCCTACATGGTGACAATGGGAAGGGCCACTCGGTACTTCTCCCTCACAACTCAGAATCTGGGACACACACAAATCAGCCTCTCCGATGCTCCCCAGACCAAGAGTAACCTTGGAGGGAGCCCTGTTCCCCAGAGCAGGGGCTGGGCTCAGCAGGGAACGTCAGGTCCCCTCCGTACATTGGCAGCAGAGACACAGGAAGATGGGGTGTGAGGCGTGTCCCTCCAGCTTCAGGTCCACACTCTCCTGCTAAATAAAGTCTGTGCCCACGGTTCTGGCTCCCGCACCACAGCTGTCTGTGACACTCGGTGACCACCAAAGAGGACAGGACAAACGGCATCACATCCCTTTTGCCTGAGTTTAGACAGAGTTTCTACACTGCAGTACACCTGCTTTGGGGCTGGAAGACACTTTCTGGTAGGGGCCATCCTGCACACTGTGGGAAGTTTCGAGGTGATCCTGGCCTCTATCTATGGGAAGACAACAGCACATCACCCACCCACTTGCAACAACCAAAAAGCCTCCAGACATTGCCCAGTGAACCCCGGGGACAGCGGTACCCATCTTAAGAACCATTACTTTAAAGAGTTTGAGGCTAAGCTGGAAGTTGGTGGTGTACACCTTAGGAGGCAGAGGCAGGCGGCTCTCTGTGAGTTCAAGGTCAGCCTGCTCTACAGAGTGAGTTCCAAAGCAATAGAGAAACCCTGTCTCAAGGAGAAAAAAAAAAGAGCTTGTGGCCAAGTACACACACAAACCAGAGTCTTCCCTTTCCAAACCTGGCACTCTGCCACCCCTACCCTAGATCCCTCTCTACCCAAAGGCCCCTCAAGACCCAGATCCAGGCTGTCAGCCGTGGTTTTGGTCCTAAACAGGAATATATGGGAAAGGAATGTCTTGGGCTCTAGCTAGCTTAGGACCGAGGGGAGCCCCGTGAAGGGAGAAGAAAAGAGAGGGGAGGGCTCGTAGGCCCCCTGCCCTCCACACCTGGGTTCCCACTGCCCTCCCTGCCAAGCCAGGCAGCCCCCACTGTCCAACTGGCGGCACCTGTGGTCTGCAGGGTGGCACACTTTGCCCCCTCACACATGTGATTGACCCTGGCAGGCCTGTACCCACAGACCCGTCATTAACTTATTCCCAATTAAACCCGTGTGGCAGAGCCATCTGTTTCCTGCCTGTTCAAACCAATAACACCAAACTTGGGATGAGAAGTAAAGCCAGCCCTGGCACATGCCCTGGCTCTTTACCATAGCGTTCTGCTCCCCCCATTTGAACGCCCCCCCCCCGCCTCTGCAGCCTCTGAGCTGGGGCGCTAATGCTCTTAAGGTATTCTTTCTCCTCCTCAGGTTATTTCTGTCCATTTCATCTTCTCTGCTGGACTTAGGGATTTGGGAGGAGGCAAGGAAGGGATTGTATCTCACCTTACTTACCAGGAAACATAATGTATAATATATATATTTATATATTTATTTATTCCCCTTTTTCCCCCCACTTATCTTCAATACCTGAACACACACCTTTCTTAAGGTAGTTTTTGGAGCGATCTATGAAACTCTCATCTTTGGGGAGTCCCTGAGACTCATCCTTTTGGTTTTCAGAGTCTATTCCCCAAGCCCGTACCTTCTTTGTCTCAGAGTGGTCATGACATTTTCAAACATTCTTCCTCTCACAGCAGGCTTCTTGTTCAGCCTGACCAAGTTCTCTGGGCACCCTTGGTCCTTCAACATGTGACTTAGGGGTTTCCTTGGACTGCTTGGAGCTGGACAAGATCTCCTGTCAAATCACTGTCCACTTGTTGAAGGCCAGACTTAAAAGCACTTGTGTGGTGCGGGGCACTGCGGTCAGTGATTGTCACATGTGGGTAATCGATTTAATGTGATCTTACTCAAATCTCCCAAACCCACAGGCAATTTTACAGCACAGGGAGTTGGCGACCCACTTGTCCTGCCTGTCCTCCACACTTGGGTTCTGGCTGCCCTACCAGACAGCCCCCTGCTCCCAGCAGGCAGACTTTGCCCGTCACCCATGCTTGATCCTTGCAGGCCTGTATCCACAGACTCTTCATCAACTCATTACCAATTAAACCCAAATTCAATAAGAAAATATTGTGAGCGGCTTCAGTGGAAACAAAATGAGCTGAACCTCTGCTTTGTCCGCAGGAGAAATTACTGTCCTATCCACACAACCCCTGGCTGGTGTTGAGAGGCTAGGTACCTAGGAGGAGCCAATGATATGGACAGAGGGAAGTCTGCAGCCCCATCACAGGGCGGAGAAGGCAATTCCCAATAACAGTGGCATTTAGTTAGAGAAGAGGCCTGTGAAGCTGGACAAACCCACAATGAAGGTAGCATCCATTTCTTCCAAAGCTAAGCACTAGGAAATTGAATGCCTAAGCCCTCACAACTGCCCCCCACCCAGGATGCTCATGCCAAAAATCAAACACAAAAGGTTGCTCCAACACCCAGGAGACCTAGCTGTGCAGAAGCTGAGGCCACCAGCTGGTGGCCCTAGAGCCTGAAAGGCTTCGTGGAACAGTAAAACCTGCATTGAGTACAGTGGTTCTCAACCTTCTAGCGCAATGACCCCTTAATACAGCCCTTCGTGTCATGATGAACCCCACCATAAAATTATTTTCATTGCTACTTCATAACTGTAATTTTGCTGTTATGAATCATAAAGATTTGCTATGCAGATATGCAGATAGTTTTAGGCCTGTCTGCATCTGGCAGGCCCTCTTCACACCTCTCTGAACAGTGAGGCCTCAGGGCTGGTTCTGTGCGGCCTAAGCAAGGCCACAGGAAGGCATCTGTGCTCTTCATTACTGCCTGTCACCGGAGGTGCCTCACCCTAATTACAAGCCAGCTTTCTTCTGACCCTGCCTTGACCCTTATCCTACATCCCTTTGCACAGCCCTGCCACCGGCATCTTCTAAGAGGCAAATGAGTATTGTGACAAAACTTTTCCTGGGGAATAGCTTCAGATCGACTCCTTTCTGATTTGAATTTGTATCAGGCTAAGTTGCATTTATTTTTAAAATGTCAAATTAATAGGGGGCACTGGTTTGTTTTAGTTTTCTTTAACCACTTGTTTTAGAGAAATTACTAGTCCACTTAAGAGATTAATCATGGTTTCTTCTGCAAACACTACCCGCCCCAGCGTGGCATGCCCACTGGCAGCCTGCTTTATTTAGCTAGGCGCACACTCACACACCTGTAGATGAAACTCACTCTCAGAACCTTTCACTGCACCTTTTGATTTTTTTTTTGTTTGTTTGTTTGTTTTCCCATACAGCGCGCTCTGGGGAGAACAACCGAAAATGCTTTGCTTGCTGTTTTCAAAGACAAACAAAACAGCAACAAGGGTTAAGATTTCCCCGTGTCTCAGGCTGGGGATGTAGCTGAAAGGCCTAGCATTAGTCTAGCAGGCTCAATGTCCTGGGTTCGCTGAAGGCAGCTCCTAAATCATCCGAGTGAGCGCCTAATGTCTCTCGCACTTGCAACCGTTCACTCCTACAGGCTTACTTCCTAATGCGCACCATCAATATAGGATGTCGGACATGGCAACTCCATGTGGAAGTAGCGAGTTAGAAAGCTAAGCCTCTTCCTTCATAAAGAGCTGCCAGAGAAAGGAGAGAATCAAGTAATCCCTGGTCTCCATGCACTTTTCTTACAGACTTATGACCACCGCAAATCAAAGAATAAAAATCTCAAAGGCCCAGGGTCGCCCACTTTTAGTGGAAGCGGAAAAGAGCTTAGGTGGGCCCGGCTCACAGACAGGGCGAGCAGGTAGACACTTCCAAGGCAGCAAATGGGCGCTGCCTGGGTGGATCCAATCCCCAAGACGTGAGTGGGCGGTGCCTATGATGGACGCGGGGTTTGTCTTGTGAGTGGGTCTTGCATGAACCTCGGCGCGTGGGGATGTGGGGAACTCGGTGGTCTCTACCCTGGACCGCGGTGGGTGGAGCCTGCTCGGGATCGAGCACCTTTGCTTGCGTGGGCGGGGCCGAAGGGAGAGGCGTGGGGTCTGGAGGCGGGGCCTCAATGGACCCCGCCCCCGAGGCATGCGGTGGGCGGAGCCTACCCTAGAGCGGGCGGGATTGCCCTCGTGGGCGGGGCCTGATGGCCAAAGGAAACCGCCGCTCGCGCGGTCCCGGGCCTCCTCATTCCTGCACAAGTGTCGCCACGACCCGGCCTACGGGGCAGTGCTTTCCGTGCCTGGACGGCTGCAGAACAGTTCGCCATACGTGTCACATGTGCATTTCCACTCCTCACTGTCCTCTGCTCCCCGCCCCGCCCCGCCCCGGCTCAGCGCCTGCGACTTTATCACCTGTGCCGTCCTTCCCACACGCGCCCCCCTCTCCTCGGCAGCCCCCTTGCCGCCGGCCCCACCGAAGCCTTCAGACCCGGGCAAATGGGCCGCACACGAGCCGATGGGCATCGAGGGGGTGGGGACAGGCCGCGCAGTGGGCGGGGCGACGCCGCGGAGCGTTAGGGCACGTGAGGACGTGCCGGCCAATGGCGTGGCGCCGTTGAGGGCGGCAGGGCGGGGAGAGGGCGGCGTGGGGCCGGCGCGGGGCGGGGCCCAATGCAGGGGCGGGGCCTGCCGGGAGAGGGGCGGAGAGACGCCGCCGCCGCTGCTGCCGCCGCCGCCGCCGCCGCGGCTGCCGCAGCCTCTGGGAGCCTGGAAAAGGGGAAGCGAGAGCGGACGAGCGACTCAGTCCCCGGGCGGCGGCTGCAGCGGCGGCGGCGGCGGCCGGGGCGGCGCGACGGCTGGGCCGGGGGCGCTTCTGCTGCTGCGGCGGCGGTGGCGGCGGGCGGCGGCAGGGGCGGCGGCGGCGGCGGCGGCCCGCACCAGCCATGCCGAATAAAAACAAGAAGGAGAAAGTGAGTCGGGGCGGGGGTCCCCGGGGCCGGGGCGGGGGTCCCGGCGGCGGCGGGTGGGGGCGGGGCGGGGCGGCAGGCCGTCCAGGCTCGCGGGCCGGCCCAGGGCGCTGACAGGATTGCATGGAGCTGGGGAGGCCGCCCAGGCTCTGAGGTGGCGCTCAGGAGCCGCGGTCGCTCTGGGTGGCGGCCGATGCTCCGTGCAGCGCTCTGCGCGGCGGGGGCTGGGGTGCGGGAGCGTTCCAGGCTCGCCCCAGAAACCCTCACTCGTGAGGTTCAGGGGTGGGAGGGGAGAAAGGGACGGGCCAGGAGCTGGGTCTGAGACTGGCTTTATCTGTCCCCTGCCTGGAGTTTCCACCTCCCCCCACCCACCCCCCAACACAGACGAAGAACATGAAGAGAAACGGAATTTGACGGCTCCTGGTCCTGTGTCTGGACTGCATGTGATGTAGTTTGCTGCTGGCGTATTAAAGCCACCAGAAGCTCTCAGTGATAGGAATCTATTTGGAAACGGCAGCATTTGAGCTGACGATGCTTAGCAGTTCCAATACTGAGAACACTGATTGATATTTTTTTTTTTTTTTTTTTTTTTGTATGTGTGTGTGTGTGATGCTTCCCAGGAACCACCAAAACCGGTGAAAAGTGGAAAAGGTTCAAAAGAAGGACAAGACACAGCAGAGTCAGAGGTAACTACTGTCACATACTCAGTGCCTTCCTTGGGCAGCTTTTAATCTAGGGTCTAACACAAGAGAGTAATAAAAACCAAAGTCTCATAATATTCGTCCCTGTATGAGAAGTGTTTTCATAAGAGTTACTTATATGTTTTTCCCCCCCACATTATAGTGAAAGTTGTGAAGCTCACGTCTCAAAAATAGTTTTGTGGCCTGTAACCTAGAGAGCCCTTCCAGGTAAACTGGTCTTAAATGGAGCTCCTAGCGCGATTCCATATTCCTTTTAGCTTCAGGGCCAGCCTCTCCTAACTTGTCTGGTTGTCAGGTGGCTTTCTCGGTGACTCGATTTCCTTGGTGCAGTCTCTTCAGCTAGTGCCCTGGGCAAGCTTCCCCTGCTGATCTCTGTTCCCTTGAGGCCTTTTCAGTTAGGCAGTGTTGGCATTTTTGACATCTCTAATTTGGGTACTTTTTTACAATCTTCTATTTATTTCCTTTCTCTCCAGTCCCCTGTCCTCTTTGGTGAGTTCTGACTTTTCTTGCTTCCTGGCTTTGACTTATTTTGGGAATATCTGGAATGCCCCCTTGGGTCATTTGGTAGAATCTGTGTTCCTCAGTAGAGCTGTGTACCTTGAGGGCATTTGCGGGGCAGCCAGGTTCTGTTGCCTTCTCTTGTATCTCGTCGTCTTGGAACTAGAGAGCCCAAGGCCAAGGATCCCAGAGCTCGGTTGGCTCAGTTTTTAAGAGCTGCTCATTAGTCTTCCTTCTCCAAAGCTGCATCTTGGAGATCTTACCACAGACATTTTTAATTTGTGAATGTTAGGTGCCTCCTCCCTGCAAACCACGTTAGAATGGGTTCATTTCTGCCTGGGAAACGCAGTTAACTGCCGATAATCTTCCGGGCTCATTCTAGTTCCAGGTTGTCTTTACCCTCTCATTTGGTGTGTTCTAAGCCTCCCTCCTGCAGCAGGTGGTTCATCCCAGCAAATCTGTTTCCTTCCCTAGAGCTGAAAGCGGAAATCCAAAAGGTTCCTGAAATACCAGTAGTTAGGATTGTCTGTGCCAGTCTTTGCCTGCCCTTTCTGTACAGCAGACCATGATGTTTCCTGTGGCAACGCTCTGGTAGACTGCCTTGCAGAGCCAGCGCTTCAGCAGTTTTTACGTGAAATGTAGTTGCTTTGCAGGGGTGTATGCTGTGTGCTTTGTCTGTTGCCTTATGCCAAGGCTTCTTAATGTTCCCCAAATCTTCCTTGCTCAAACATACCTGTGTCCCATTACTCTTGGGGGTCACAGAGAAGTATCAGTGCGCGTGTTTCGTTTCTCCCTGTTTTAGGAGAAAGATCCTTGCTATAAGGATAGGACGGATAATGTTGAGTTTCAACCTGAAGAACCCATCCCAGTTCAGAGATGTGCATTGCACTGCTGTGTAAGAAAGCATCTGTGGCGCACATTGGGGCTCTTACTGTTGGCTGTGTAGGGCTCTTGAGTGTGGCCTGTCGTGTCCAGTGTGACGCCCCAGTTGTCTTTTTGTATCTTTTCTAGTGCAACTGTCTAAGAACTGGAGCCACAGAGCTTGAAATGACCACTGAAAAACACTGAAATGTTGGGCACGTCCCTCCTTCCTCAGAAGGAGGCTGAGGCAACATGAGCATGACACTTGGCAGAGCACTGCGAACATTATTTTTCAGGAATGCACATCAAGGTGCTTTAGTCCCGTGATCACCGTTTCCCTCCCCTGGGCCTTCAGCTCTATTCCTGTCTTCTAGTCCCACCCACTTAAGGAATATGATTGACTGAGCAAGTGAATTAAGTCATTACTGCACGCACTTCTCTTCTCCTGTTGCTCTGAGTTTGAACTTTTTGACCTGAACTGTTAAAATACTTTGGCATTCCCATGTTGCTCGTTGAGCCCTTCCAACAGCATGTCCCCTTCACAAGCTGCAGGTGTTCACATTGCCCCATGAAGGTGGCTCAGAGCCTGGACCGTTCACACACTCAGGCTTCACAGCCTGGAGAGGTGGACAGGGCAGGTGCCCAGCCTTGGATGAGCTGCCAGAGGCTTAGGGAATAATCCCAGCAGAGATCCTAGAAGTTAGCCTGTGACTGACTTAACATACCTTGTCAAGCATGTGGAGAGTCCTTAAAAGAGACATTTGACTGGCGGTCCCCTACCTCACGGGACACAAGGCATCAAGCGGTTTATATTGAAGAACACTTTTTGGTTAGAATATGGGCTTTTTCATAAGGAAGGAAAAGTAATAGAGTGAAAGCCAGCATGAGACACAGAAGATATTCCAGGCTGAGAGTTAGAGAGCAAACATGATGATTCCTGCTTGCTATGAGCGATGCACTCACTCACCTTGTGTGACGTGTTTCTTCATCTCTAAGACAACTTAGTGAGCTGAAGATCTTGGGGGGCTGCTTTTAACTATGTGGGACAGATTAGGCCCCACTTTTCCCAAGAAATTTTGGGAAATGCACAGCAGGATAGACCTGTTAGTATAGTAACACACTGCTAAAGGTGGTTACTGCCTTGCTCTGGGAATTTCCAACGGGATGTGCTAGTACATTTTTCTTTTCTTCTCTATCAAATAGAATGTTAAAGTTTGACTTGTCTATGCCCATGTGTCCTGAAAGTAAACATTTCTATCCAGTGCTAGATACAGGTTTATTTTATAGTGTATGTTTAATGGACAGGCCATAGCTGAATCGTGGGCCACTTGAAGTTGGAAAATGTTGTGGAGATAGACAGAGAGAACAAGTTAGCATTCAGATATAGAGGACCAGGACATAAAGGACCATGATTAGGCATATTTTTATGAATACTTAAAAAGTCTTAAAGACATTATACTCAGATCCAGACATTGATTTTGCAGGGTCAGATCATTGGATGGTGTTGCTATATTTATTGTCTTGTGTTTTTAAAATCTGTGTACTTTGTCCAAAGTTGGCGTTTTAAAATGTGTTCAAGATTGTTATAAAGTGATTTGTTTTTGGCACATTAAAGGTGGTTTGAGTCTTGTTCTCTGTGTATTTCGTATGCCCGGCTCAGCTTAGTTTTGTTTGAAAATCTCTCCAGCAACTCTTATATAACATCCAGTGCTTAGAAGAAGCCTGAGCAATCCTCCCTTGGACTTGATCTCTCACTGTGACACCATTCACCTTTATGACTGTTTTGTCCCTTTTCATTCTATTTCCACTGGCATCCCGGAGCAAGGGAGAATAAGATTGAAGCTTGCTGGGAATCTCATTGTACTGGCTGGTAAATAATGCTTTTTTTCTATAAATTAAAGCTAAAATATATAAAAATTATTAATCTAATAACGGGATGATTACATGAAAACATAGGTAAAAATTTTGTGAAAGTGTCTTTTAGAATTAACTGGGGGCTTTCTGCTCACTGTCTCTGGATCAGGCATCTTTCTTGAATAAATTGGAGAGGACCATGGGAGTGGTTTGGAAAGAGCCACACGGTGACTTATCTGATGCCCTCTATGGAAGGGCCAAAGCCTCCATCCACAGGTTGGCTTCTGCCTTACTTTGGCTGGCCCTTCTCAGGCCTACAGCCCTTGCCCAGTGCTCAGGTGCAGCCTGAGATGGTAGGGCTTGGAAGATGACTGATCCAAATTGGCTGCCTTTGGGGCCTCAGAAGCTGGTTCTTCCTGAAAGTACTGTTTTCCAGCTCCCACTCCATCCATGTATAAGCTGATGTAGGTGGGACCCCTGGGGTCCCACAGACTGCCATGCTTAGTCTCTGCACCAGCATATCAAGCCAGGTGCTGTGTTAGAGGCTGTTCTGGGGCTGTGTGTGTCTCTATCCTTGGCCTCACCTACTGAATGCCAGTGTCTCCAGAGGACGGACTTGCCCCTGCTGAGCCACCGCACTACAGTGTGCACGGTGCCTCCAGAGACCGTCTGGCGCTCTCTCCTGGGCATGCTTTCATGTGCAACAGCCGTTCTCAGACAAAAGGGGAGGAAGGGCCCTTTAGACTCCTCAAAGGCGTTGGGAACCCAACAGCTTTTATGTAGGAGGGTTACAGTTATCTACCTATATTTTTCGTATTAGAAATTAAAACAAAAAAAGATTAAGTATTCATCAGTTCAGCTAATAATAGCAATAATACTCATTACATGTTACAGAAATAGCATTTGTGTGAAAAATAACTTTAAAAAATTTACTGAAAAGAGGTGCCCTGCCCTAGGTTTGCAAATCTCTTTAGCTGCCTGGCTCTACATTTAGTTAGTACATGCATAACTCAGAAAACTTACACAACATTAGACTTCAAAGAATTCATTAAGCCATGTCTAGGTTACTATGAAGACAGTTTGGCAAGTTGTCTTCTGACCTCTGGCACAGATACACACAAGACAAACAAGAAAAGAATTCAGAAGTGAATCCCTTCTGCCTTGCTATCAAAAACAAACAAAAAAATGGTAGAAGCCTTCAATTTTTTTTAAGCACCAACTCAAATTCATCTATTCTGAAATTTAAGAGGTTTGATTTTTAAGATTTTATTTATTTATTTTTATTTATGTGCATGAGTATTTTGCCTGCATTTGTGTGTGTGTGCTATGTGTGTCTAGTGCCCGTAGAAGACAAGAGAAATTCTGGGTGGCTGTAAGCTGCCATGTGAGTGCTGGGAACGAAACCCAGGTGTTTAAGGATGACACGTGTTGTTAATTATCTTTAACTTCAGGGGAAGGTTTTCTTTTCCTGGACCATATTTTGTTTGCTTGCTTGTTTGTCTTTTAAACTTGGGTAGTAATTTGCTGTCACTTATTTGTCATATACTGCCTTGAGCCACCTTACTTTCCTGTGACTTGCATCCCATAGTAGATGACCCGCCATTCATCTTGGTATTCTTCATGTGTATTAGGACCAACAGTCAAGAAATACTAGGCTGTTGGATTTAAAAAGTGCTTAGAAGGTTAGGAATATCACCCAGTCGTGGAGCCCTTACCTAGAAATTGCAAAGCCCTTGTGGCCAGCCCTCAGCAAATAAATAAATAGTGTCAGG